TTTCAAAATTTTCTAATGCATAAAAGTATTTTCAATCTTAAAATGAATATTACTTTGCATGATTGATAGGCAAAATGCGAAAAGAAAAAATAGACGCAAGAAAAACATTGCTTTATAAACCTTCAGACTTAAAGAAATTTGATATGTTGCTTACAAAAACATTGTAATGTTTACTGATAATCTGCCAAATTTTGTTAACATTTGCTTACTAATTTAAAAGTTATAGCATGATAACTGTAACAAGCACAAAATGGTTACAAGGTCAGTCCCAGGGACTGAGCCAGTGTTTAGAAAGTTAACTCAATAAATGATACAAGTGAAAGCGACAAAATGAACTCCTTAGTGTTGGTAACCATCCTACTGGTACTTACACATTGATCTAAAAATTAATATTTGATTTCAAATAAGACTATCATTGTTAGTATTATAATAGATTGTTACTGGTTCTTATTGGTATTGTGTTCAAGACTAGTTTAACTCCTTGAAGGCTGAGTGCTCAGAATAAATTCACAGACAACAACATTTTTGTTCAGAGTGCATAGGAATCAACCCAAAATCTAAGGTATTTTACAGAAAATGTGCAGAGGAATAACTGCAGGTTTTTTTGTTTTTTTTTATAAATGTTTTTAATTCAGTGATGCTATTTTGCAATTAGCACATCCAGCCAGGTGCCAAAAGGATTAATATAGTTAAAGATCTTTAGTATACATACAACTGTGAATCTTACCTTGCTTAATGCCCTTATAAGATGCACATGCTTCTTATAGAAATTTGATTTTAAAAATACCACTGGAAAAACATCAAAAATTAACATTTTTCAATGTTTTACAGTTTGTCCCTTGCCTTGGTGGCTCAGCAGAAAACTTAAAAGGCCTATAATGCTAAAATTCTGGATTCAGTCCCTGTGGTAGATGTGTTACACATGACCGTTGTTAACAATTTTCAAACTACAATATATGTCACTATCATTATGGTTAAAGTACTAGTAAATCTGTATGAATTGTGATTGTGTTATGCCTTTTAACATTTGTTAGTACTATGGTTTGTCTATATGAATAAGCTACTTTCTTTATGGATCCATCAAAAATTTATTTTGAGAAAACTTACAATCACAATGTAACTGAAATTAAGTATAATATAACTTTGAAAAACTAATATCTTCACAAGATTTTTTCCATACATAATATAAAATATTATTATTTTCAGTTAGCAAAAGATTTGCTTCATCCAAGTCCTGAAGAGGAGAGGAGAAAATGCAAGTTGAAAAGACTTGTGCAACATCCAAATTCATTTTTCATGGATGTCAAATGCCCAGGTTTGTGTGGTTATAATCAGTATTTGTATACATTAGTTACCTGATGTTGGAATTCCATTTTCTAGAAGATCTTAACTGGACAATTCAGAATATACAACATAGTACCTTGCAGTCTAAAGTTTTTTTTATTTTGGAACATGTATGTTTTAAAATTACTGTCTGTAAGATTTTTTAGAATTAAATAAATGTGAAGTTCAACATAATTTGTAAATTCTCCGATTATTTTATTTTAGACAGCTTAGTCTAGATGTGGGAAAATTCCATGTGGGTATGATACTGATGTGAAATCAGAATTCAAGAATTGTTTTAATTTGTAAAATGGAAATACATAGAATTTTTCCCCCCATTATAGGATGCTACAAGATTACAACTGTCTTTAGCCATGCCCAAACAGTTGTTCTCTGCGTGGGTTGTTCAACTGTACTGTGTCAGCCAACGGGCGGTAGGGCCAAATTAACAGAAGGTAAGGAAAACTTATGCAAAGTGTGATGTTTTGATGTGTATTAAAATATCATTGATTTGTTTTTTAAATAGATATTTTTGAACTGAGATCAATTTTCTGGCTTTTTTCCCTCAAGTATGAAATTTTATGTTAAACCCATCTGTCTTGTTGAGTTGGGTCAAACAGGTGTATTATAAAAAGTTATCCAATAAAACTACTGATTTGTATAATTAGGCCTGCAGTTATCACAAAAATGAGCATCCATCAGTCAACAAAGTGAACTAAGCCACAGTTGGAAGTTTACATCTAGTAGTAGTAGAATACATGCTTATCCTAGCCATAACTTCTCCCTGGTGTTTACTGTAATTTGTATCTTCTGTTATACACGTAGGAACCCGAGAACAAACCACTGCTCTAAGTCGTACAGTTGTTTTATTTGTACGTACTCATACTTTGAGCCGTTTTTGGCTCAAAGTGTACCTTAGCTTTCATTACAATTTCATGGTTGTGAAAGGTCACCACCTTAATTTTTTTTTCTTTGTCCAACTCCATTTATGAATGACAGGGTTACATGCCTGTTCAGTGCACTGAGAAGACAAGGGAGTTTAGAACCAAATGCTGATTCTCTTATGTCACTCCCAGGGGTGGCCTATGGGTACATTTCAGGTTTGATGACAACACACACACACACACACACACACTACCAGTTTAATGAAGATTTGGAATTTAAATATTTTCTTTTGAAATTATGAAGCTAAAACTTGGATAATAAAGATGTTTATTTAAATTTTAGATTAAACTGTGTAAAAGGTTGTAACATGCACACTTTGACACGTTGGTGATTAAAATACTTGGATAATTTGTATTTTGATAGTTTTTTTAGGAGGTTAATCTTACTGTTTTAGGTAGCTGTGAAGAAGTGGTATTTTTTTAACAATGTTTTCCCCTCTTTTTTGTCTAAACTGCAATTTTTTTAATAGTTAATGTTTGTTTCTGAAATGAGTAGTTTTAAGGCTTAATCTCAACATCGTTATTGTCGTTTTTCTATATATAATATAAAACATCGCTACTGATTTTCACTGGTTATATATGAATGACTTCGTATAAATGAAAGAAAATTAATTTTTTCGTGATGATTCAACAGGACTGGCTTGCTGGTTCTTGTGAATGTTGGTAAATTTACTCAAAGAAAATATTTTTTTTATAATTATAATTCACAGGAAAATTTGTGTTTTTAGTGCCAAAACTACTATGTCTATTGTATCCCAGTCAACCTGATGAACCCTGATATCGTGTAAAAGGCCTCGTTGGCACTCTATATAGCAGTTGTGGCATGGTTGACATATAACATTTTCATTTACTTTCACTCATGAGTACTTATTCATAATTAGATTTAGTAAGTTTGAGTTGTGGGCTGGTTGAAAACCAAATGAACCAAGTCCTCCTTGGAAAAACCATAGGAGATAGAAGAACAATGTTTGAAAATACTGTAGGCTTAGTACTATTGTCTTATGCTAAATTTATTGATTATGATCATGTAGCACCAACAAAATTTTGCACCATAACTTACATGATACTCACATTGGGGTCATTTGTTTGAAAATACTGTAGGCTTAGTACTATTGTCTTATGCAAATTTATTGATTATGATGATGTAGAACCAACAAAATTTCACACCTTAACTTACATGATACTCACATTGGGTCATTATTCTGAAAATTACTTTGTGTAGTATTGCAAATCTGAAAATTGTTCACCTACTTTGTTCTTCCTCTTACTAATGATACATTTCATGTTAAACACCCTTCTAGTCTATACCACAAATGTGTTGTGTGTTGGTCTTGTGAAAGGTAAATTAGTTTTTGTTCATTACTTCGATAAGGTTATGTTGTATATGAAACTCAGAACAGTAGGATTGATAATTTCCTCCATCTGTATTTGTGGTAATTTTAGATTTTTAGAGAACTCACGTTGGTCAGAATTTCATTTTCTTTTTTTTTAATTAGATGTTTTTGTGATTCTTGAAATAAATATTTTTTATGCTGTAAACCTAACTTAGATTTTGTCAGTAAGTAATAGCTGTTTCAGTTCGTACATTTTTCAAATTTATAGATAAAAATTAAAACTGTATTTGATAGTGTCATGAAAAAGGTATATATGCATGTATTCCAAAAATGTACTTTCCTGTAGTTAAAAACAGTGATTGATTGTTCAAGAAATTAAAGTTCTTTTAAACAATATGTATCAATGCTTACAGTTTCAAAACTTAATGACTAACATACAGAATAAGTCATAGTGAATCTGACAATAAATGAAACACTGAGCTTAGAAGTAACAAATATTTTCTTTGTGAAGAAGTTGTTTGTTTGGTCACCAAGTTAATGTTATAATCCTCCAGACTTTCAAATTCAACAGAATTAGTATTTGTAACACATGTACTGGGGGTTCACTGTGGCCTGCCATATATTTAAGTAATGTTGAAATTTTTATTTTAGTGCAGTGGAATTTCTAATTTTAATTATTATTTTTTTTAACAGGTTGTTCGTTCAGAAAGAAGCAACACTAAAGTTTGAGGAGGAGAGCTTAACATAAACTTAGTGAAAAAAAATGGTATCATGTACAGCTTCTTCTAAATAAAATAAAGTTTGTTGGGAACAACTCATGATTGGGTGTTTTATGATTAGTCTGGTTGCTTTCTTTGTATTCTTTATGCACTAAAAACTGAGACTTTATCAAAACATTTAGTTGATATCTCAACTGGTAAGTCTTAAGTATGTATAATGCTAAAAATCTGGTTTTGGTAGATAACCCATTTGTGCTTTACCAACTAAGAAAAAAATAAATTGTTTGAAATATTAATTGTAATTTTAAATATTTTTTTTTTTTTTTATTATGAGTGAAAAAATGCATTTTCCTTACTTACCTATGTATGATATTTACAGGTTAAGCTTTGCCTGCCCTTTGAAGTTTTCAGAATAAATAGTAGGCTAATTAAATTTATAATTCTTTTGCAGTTCACAGGGTTATTGAAATAAATAAAAAAAATTAAGAATCTTGTTAAATTTCTTCGTAGTTTTATAAATGTGAACGTGATATAAACAAGAAGTAAATATACCTTGTGTCATAAAAACAGTAAAAGTCCATCAGGATACTAATTATACAAGTTTTTTTACGTCTATGTTTGTAACTAAATATCGATCAATAACTACACAAGTTGTGTATGTAGAATTATATTGTAAGTATTGTTGTAATGATATTGATTTGATTTTTCATTATACTTTGGATTTAAAGTAGCACGTGATATTTCCTTACAGAAAATAAATACTGAGTAGTAAGTAGAATTCAAAATAAGTGATATAGGAAGTATAATTATGCAATAATACTTCTCAAGTATATGCAATCAGAATAGTTCTATTGAAAAGTCTACTTTCTACAGAATCTAGTGGGGAGAATTTTTTATTTCAAGAGTTGTCTAAATATGTGACTAGACACTAATGATTTATTCAATATTAGAACCAAGTGGAATTATTTGTTTTAATGATTATAGTTCTGGACACGTAATATGCAGGCATGTTGTATGTTTTCTACCTGTATTTTAGTAATTATAAATTTCTAAAATGTTTCGGGTATTTAGTTTCAGTGCTGTGATGGCAGCAGTACTGGTCCATAAAGTTAAGATTGCCATCTTTTAGTTTCTTTGTTCTGTACCAGAAAATACCAAACAAAAACTTAAATTTGACACAGAAGGATTTCCAGGCCTGAGTGATATTTAAATAAATAAAATAGTGTAGTTATAGTAAAAATTATATTGGTAAAGAAGGAATAATTTAAAAGATACAATTAAGTGTGTAAAATGAACCTTCAATGCAAATATAACGAGATATTTGTTGTAACTTAATATGATGACTGACACAAACCATCTTCATTTGAGAACATCATAACCATCTAGTGGTTCTAGCAGGTACCATGGGTTCATAATTACTTTTTTAAATGTATTTATACCAATAATCTTTAGGGTTAGTGTCGTACATTAAATAAAGTTTGTGGTAATTATCGGGGTCGAACGATTGTATTAACCTTTTAAATGCCCAAATTTCATAAGGCAATAGTGCACCTTTTCATTGTTAAAAAAATTACAATCTGTTATAAGAATGTAATCCGCTTACCCTCTATGAGAGTTAAGACGGAAGTAGGAAAAAACTTGGGTTCACAATATATCAATGCCGACCATAGACGTGTGTTTGATATCTAGGTAACAGAAGGTTAAAAATATCTTGGTGTAGATAGCCAATTGCGCTAAAAACAAACAAATTAAAGGTATTTCACGAACCTTGAGGAATCTTTCATTTCTAACTAACAATCTATAGTAAATTTCAAAACTGTGGCATTTTATATCACTTGTGGTGTTAACTTAAAGAAACACTAGTTGACGAAAGCCTTCTTTTCAATCCCTCTCATCATTCTTTTGTATGTGTAAGACACAGAATCCCGGTGAGTTGTCTACAGTGGTTCATTATTTGTGGTATTTTACTTGTTATCCATGCATGAACTACATCAGTGGTTCTTAAACTACATCACGCGAAATTTAATCTATGGGTTTGTTAGAAGATTTAAAAAAAAAAACAAGTTATCGCAAATATTATTTACTGTAATGAATAACTCGCATATTTTAAAAGAAATACGGTTATCACTCGTATTCCCGACCACAAAAAGAAAAGTTGCGGAGGACCGCAATTTAAAAAGTTTGAGAATTATTGGACTACGTAAGCATACATCAAGTATTTTTAAATCATCGCTTAGAAAATCTTACTTTTCACTGTTACATTCTGGACGGACATGTGAAATGCTTCTTATCTTCAAAGTATCCAAATGAAAGATAAAATAAATCTGGCTTTTTTCCCACAAGCACCCCAATAGTATAAAGTGTACAGTATGTGTCGCCATCTAGTGATGACATGTTAAATTGAAGTGCATATGTTTTTACCACCGGGTATGTATGTACCGGTACAAAGAAAAACTAAAGTCTAAAATTACATATCTTCAAAAATTCCAGCTTTAAGACAGAAATAATAGAAAAAGGAGCAAATGGGTATGATTACATATAAATATATATAATTTATTGTTGATTATAAGTGACAGACATAGACTTTACAAAACTTTTCTCTTTGTGGAAAAATAAGGTATGTAAAAAGGTAGACTTGAACAAGCATATATGAGCAAAAAGTATTACAAGGATAAAAACAGGAAAACAACTTTAAGTTTTAGGACTGTGCGAGGCCCAGTTGTTAGCGTGCCGGACTGAATATATCTGAGATTTCATGATTCGCCAAAATAAAATAAAAAAACAGTTTCGCTCTGCACACTGGGGCCGTCGGTGCGTAAAACGGGTGACGGTTAAATCTCACTGTTCGGTCTAACAATAGTTTGTTTGTTTGTTATTAAGCACAAAGCTACACAAAAGCTTTAACTGTGCAGAACCAGATTTGTAGCGTTAAAAGTCCTCCGAATTACTTTACCAAAGTAGCCCAAGAGATGGCGGTTGGTGGTGTTGAATAGCTGCCTTCCGTCTAGCCTATCACTTCAAAATTAGGGGCGGGTAGCTCTCATATAGTTTTGTGGGAAATTCAACAAACGAATTTTAAATTTTGAGTTCAAAAACCAACATTTTAAGCATTAAACGTCTGAAGTATTTTTTATAAAGCTAACCTCTTTGAATTGGGAATATTTAAAAATAAAATTTTTCAAACACATGTATTGCTGAAGAAAAATACTTACTAAATATCATTATAATCATTATTAATATGAACGTAAGAACAGTATATCTATTTCGTTATACTGATTACTGGGTTGACTTTCGGCTTTGTTCTATATATGTAGGTGGCTTGCTTTGGCCAGACGTTAATATCAATTTAAAAATAATGTGTGGATTTTAGAGCAAAGTAACAATGAACTATTTTCTGTGTCTATCGAAACCCCGGATTTTAGCGTTGTAAATGTGTAAACTTACTGCTGTCTCATCGGGGGACAAAAAAAAACGAGAAATGGAACATTATTTTCTCTGCGTTGCTTTATATGACCACACTTTTTCAGCTACAACATTTTGATTTTATTGTCGTAAAACATGAACGTACGTTTTTATTACATAAATAATTTCACCTCGATTGTTTGTTTCGTTATGGCAAAGCTATATCAAGGCTACGTGCCGTCGTCTCTAAACTTGAACTGCTAATCATAGGGTAGGCAACAGGCCGGCAGCACCCACCGACAATTCTTGGACTACTCTTTGCCAAAGAACAGTGGGATTGGTTGTCACGTTATAATGCCCCCACAGAAAAAAGGACGAATATGTTCGACACCAGGTTTCGATCCCACAGGGAATGCAACCGGCCGGCAGCAGCCAACGCCAATCATTGGACTACTCTTTACCAAAGAACAGTGGGATTCGTCGCCACATTATAATGCCCCCACAGTAGAAAGGACGAATACGTTTGACACCAGGTTTCGATCCCGCTACCCACATATTGCAAGTTGAGTGCCCAAACACCAGGCCTTTCAGCTCAAAACTTATTTTGCTAATGAAATATATTGAACTTAAACGTTTTCCCCTCATTATCAGTAAAAAAAAATTATGTACTGTCTTTCTATGTTCGTACTTAAAACAGAGGCAAGTGTTATTTTACACAAAACGTGATGTTCTATTTATAAACCTATTACGCTATTATTTCTTTCATAATATACTTCGTTAAACTCATACCCGATAGTGAAAATAGAGGTGTTTTCAGGTAAACCATATTTTTAGTACCGTGTAAAATGTGAAATTGTTTGTTACTTTTTTTTTACCACTTGGAAATAAATTCGTTTTTCTGTAAGAGCAAAATTGCACAAAGAGCTATCTGCACCATGTCATTCGCAGAGATTGAACCTCGAAATTTAGCAATAAAAACTCTCAGACTTATGCTCAACCACCGGTAGACCATTTGGAATAAGAAGAGTAATATTTTGGGTAGCATTTTGTTTTTTGTTGCTATTATTTTTTTTGTCTAATGACAAGATGCAGATTTAAGTGTTATAGCTTAATTAGTCGACAGGAGTGGCTGAAATGCATCGTTTGTTGTTCGGCCTTTCTGAAACGTTGAGAATATGATGAGAAATGTTTAGCATAAATCATGGTAATGAATAATTCATGACCATAATAGGGATGATCCTGATTTAGTGACGAAGACACGTGGTTTCAGAATAGAAGATACAAATAGTTTTTGTGTTAGAATTTAGACACCCTAAAGCTTATAATCGTAACAATGAAGATTGGATTTCTTTTAACGTTGTCTTTCTTTTTTTCTTCTTTTTTACACTGCCAATTAACAGAATCACTGAATTTCGAGTAATTATAACGCAGACTCTGGAATTTCGCGCGAAGATAAATGGTAAAATATTCTTCAAGTTCTAACACTACAGCTAAGCCCGAATATAGAAGTAAAAGAGGGAATGTATTTTGTTCGAGTGTTTATAGTGATGATTTTAACGATCTTGTCGATAAAGTCTTATCCTAGTTTAACATTTCGCGCAGGAGGAAAACTTTATATCATAAAAGTAAAATTTGTTGTTTGAAGTTAAGCACAAAGCTACACAATGGGCTATCTGTGCACTGTCCACCACGGGTATCGAAACCCGGTTT